AATATATACATATATATATATTTATATTTGTTACTTCACTGAGAAAACGCATTGAAACAAATAATGCAATTAATCAGTAATAGAGAGATAACAAATACATATCTATAACAATGTGCGATCTATGTGTCTGCAACTGAAGCTCTGCAAGCCATGATTGTTTATATCATTAACAATATCTTTACAAGATTGAGGATTACTATTGCTTTTTACAAAATGTAGCTCGCGTTGCACATTGCAAAATCGTACATTTGTACGATTTCTGCATAGCCGGAACTGTGATTAGAGAATTATCTGTTTATTCATAATGATTCAATCTGCGATACATACTAAAAGTTAGGTTTACTCTTAACTAGATGTATCTTCCATATTGCCTAGGATGATCCATAAATCATGCATCGGAAGGATATAAAAAATCAATTACTACGATTGCAATGTGAAAATACTCTTAGTTTATTAAACTAAATATCTAAGCTTAACAGGCTATGAACTTAAATTTTTTGACTTTTATTACAAACTAATGCGTTTATAGTCTCTATTAAGTTTTCAGCCTTTCAATTTCATAAAAAGAAAGAAGTAAAAATATATTAACATGATGCACAACTTTATTCTATAGCTCTATAATAGTTGCCAATGTAAGAAAAAAATATAGTACAGACAGAAATCTTTGTGCCATATTTTCCAGTTTTTATCTTTCGTTAAGAAAACTAAAAATCAAAATAAACTGCAGGCGCAGAACTGCGTTGTGGAAACATAAAGGAAACAATTCAACAGAAGACGAATAACATTTTTCTTGAAGCATTCTGCATTATATATATTGAGCAAGGAAAAACGTACAGAGATATCACAAAAGCAATTAAGATATTTAGTGCAACGAATAATTCATAATCTTACATCACCATGTGTTGCAAGTATAAAACTTCCGTAGATCATTCATTCTTATATTATTACAATAGAAAATGAATTAAGTCGCTTATGTCGTAATCGGCCCTTTTACATGATTTCAATATATTTCTTTTGCATTTATGTATATATATATATATATATTTATATTTGTTACTTCACTGAGAAATCGCATTGAAACAAATAATGCAATTAATCAGTAATAGAGAGATAACAAATACATATCTATAACAATGTGCGATCTATGTGTCTGCAACTGAAGCTCTGCAAGCCATGATTGTTTATATCATTAACAATATCTTTACAAGATTGAGGATTACTATTGCTTTTTACAAAATGTAGCTCGCGTTGCACATTGCAAAATCGTACATTTGTACGATTTCTGCATAGCCGGAACTGTGATTAGAGAATTATCTGTTTATTCATAATGATTCAATCTGCGATACATACTAAAAGTTAGGTTTACTCTTAACTAGATGTATCTTCCATATTGCCTAGGATGATCCATAAATCATGCATCGGAAGGATATAAAAAATCAATTACTACGATTGCAATGTGAAAATACTCTTAGTTTATTAAACTAAATATCTAAGCTTAACAGGCTATGAACTTAAATTTTTTGACTTTTATTACAAACTAATGCGTTTATAGTCTCTATTAAGTTTTCAGCCTTTCAATTTCATAAAAAGAAAGAAGTAAAAATATATTAACATGATGCACAACTTTATTCTATAGCTCTATAATAGTTGCCAATGTAAGAAAAAAATATAGTACAGACAGAAATCTTTGTGCCATATTTTCCAGTTTTTATCTTTCGTTAAGAAAACTAAAAATCAAAATAAACTGCAGGCGCAGAACTGCGTTGTGAAAACAAAAAGGAAACAATTCAACAGAAGACGAATAACATTTTTCTTGAAGCATTCTGCATTATATATATTGAGCAAGGAAAAACGTACAGAGATATCACAAAAGCAATTAAGATATTTAGTGCAACGCGCAATATTTGTGCTTTATAATTAACTTGATCAATTTTCAAAAGTATCAATATACATATAACGCGAAAAAAGATTCTCTACTAATTTAATATTTAATAGAGAACGTAGATTGTTCTTTGATCATTTTGTATTATATACTACATAAAAATATGTATATCACAATATCAACAATAATTAAAATAATTAACGCAATATGCGATTTTCAGTCGTTCACCCTGTAATGGTTGCAAATTTCCCAACAATCGAAAAATTGGGAGAGATACGATGGAAAAATTATATTAGATTTCAACGAAAAGATAAATAAATTGTTCTTGCTACGACAGATTAGAGAGAGAGAGAGAGAGAGAGAATAAAACAAAATATACATGATAATAATCAAAATAATCAGCGCAGTGCGCGACTTACGGCTCATCCTGCAGGTCGGCGATTATTATAAGGAGCAAAGAGCCAAGAAGGCAAGATTTTTATTAGATGAAGAGGATTAATTGCTGGCTAATGCCGCCATCGCACGAATCAACGTAGCATTCTCCTCGCGAAGCCGTTCCCGTTCCACGGCCATTTCATGTTGTTGTTTTAAAAGGCGAGCCTCAAGCGCCATAATTTTATGATCCCGGTCCTCTAAAAGGGACAGTAGCCTCCTGTTCTCTTCCTGTGCTCGTTCAATCAACTGAAAATTGCATCGTGTTCGATTCTCAAATTTATGTTATTTGATTAATAAGTACATAGAAAAAGTAAAATTTTTGGAATGCGCGCAACAATTTTTTATTGTTACGAATTAATTAAATATTAAATATATATAATTTGGCGTGTTGTCTAATAATTTTTTAACAACTTACTTCGTGTGGATTGTCGCCAGTTGGTGTCGGCAATCTCGGTCTGCCGGTCGCATTGACAGACGTCTGCGGCTCGTGATTGCCATGATCCGATTGATTAATGCTATCGGACTGATTAAGAGAATCAAATTCCTCGTCGTCGGCCTCCAAATCAGAGTGACTAAAACGCAGACGTCAACGATCGCATATAAATCATGTTCACGAATTAGTATTTTATAGTATGCTATTTATAATATGCATTAGGCACGACCGTCGATGCGGATACAAAGAATATTACACATAATTAACACATAAATTAATTGTGTTAATTTTTAGTATTCGTAATAATTTAGTTTTAATAAAAAATAGTCAATCGAATAATATATGATTTCATGCAACTGAACATATGATTTTGTCCAAAGTCCTTTAATTATTTTATAGTCACTGTCATTACATTTTTAAATTACTTTTTTTATTCAAAGGAAAAATTAGTCTAATTATTTTCAATTTTAAAATATATATTCAGGGCTCAACTATATTTCGTGCATATTATATCTTTTGTATCGCAACAAGTTCTTCATGTTCGAATTCTATTCAGTTTTGTAAAATTAATTGTTCCATTATGACTTATGTTATTGTCTACATTTGGAATATTATCAGTTATGTGTATGTACATAGATCTTGGATGATGTGACAGAGATTAGGTAATTTGTTAATCGATTAATCAAGATTCTACTAGCTCTATCGTACTTCGTACAGGTCGTGCCTAATTGCAGTTCTTCTGGTACAATGTAACGCACTTACCAATTGTGCCTAATTATACATGACCTGTATGAAGTACGGTAGTGCCTAGAAAGCAGTTATGGTTTATTATAAAAGGATAGTCAAAGACAGTTATATATATACTGCATCATGACAAAAGGTGCTCATTTTCCAATTATCATTAATTATGTGTAAATATGTGTGAAATACCTTTTATTTCGCCTTTGTGTGTACATTCTGGCGGTCCGGTCCTGTAATATGCACATTTTTAAATAACTGTCCTAAAAAAAGTTGGGCTACACTTCCTTCACATAATAATAAGAAATATTTATTGCTATTATTTTTTATTTCTTTTTGCCTTTGCAGCATTATATTATCAGTTTTAAAGAGAAGAAATCAATAATTAACATTATAAAGATTTTGAAAACAATGCTTTTAAAAGATTGGACTTGATTGAAAATTTTGTTATATAATTTTAATTGCAATTATATTTCAAAATAATATCAAAGATTGCGATTAATAATTCTTTCCAGACTTTTTTTCCTCACAATATATAAAACAAATTACTTTCTGTTTTAAACAAATTTATTGGATACACTTACTTCTATCAATTCATGATCAAGGAATTCATTGTGATGCGTGTTATGCTTAGTTTCAAGGCAAGTACCAGTAAGTTCCTCCTCATCTTCTCCCGTACTACCACCAGTACTCTGAGAAATTATACCAAATGTCGAAGATATTTGTACAATATTTAAACATTAAAAAATACACAGTGAACTATATCTCATAACTGAATAATAGAAAAGCAAGCTTAGTACTATCTATAATAAAAACGTGATTGATAGAGAGAGCCATCAATTTTTGCAACATTATTATTATCTTGGCATTAATTGTTTCCGCAATAAAAATTTATAAATCAAAATTTTATTTGAGTTGAAATTAACTAAAGAAAAGAAAAAGGTTATTTTATATTTCTATTCATAAACACATAATTAGTTAAAAATATTTTAGAGTTTGCTATAATTCACAAATTATTTTGATAATTCCGATAAATACATCTCGATATACTTGTTAAAAAAAATCAACTGTAAATTGATAATCAAGAAGGCTCTTTACTATGTATACAATGTAATAATTTAATCTTATTGTGAATTGATTAAAGTAATTGTATACAGAAAGGTGATAATTTAGAAGCACTGTAATATAAAAATCAAAGGTATTAAAATTGCAAGGTTTTAAAACTGGAGCAATAAAGTCTTAGAATTTGAAAAAACCAATTTTTAAATTTTTGGTGACATTATTTTTTATGCTGCGCAATCTAATCGTGTGATTACTTATGAATTAATTGACAATGGCAAACCTCTGTCGATGGTAAATGCACGACTCCTGTGCTACGCCGTTTTTCTCGTAGTTTCCGTCGATCACGTTGCTGCTTTCCCTTGTTTATATGCGTTGGCCTGTGCAAACAGGATACGACACTAAAGACACTAGAACCAGATCCAGAAAGTATATTAGGCAGTTACGTAAAGTCCCGTGTGTCAAGGATATTGTTAGCTAATGGACACTCCAAGCGCGGCAATAAGTTTCTACAATCTTTCATCAATTTCATAAGGCGCATGCAATCGCGATTTACGTACCGGCCGGTTACGCGTTTATCCTGCTTCCTTATTATGGGTTTGGTCTGCAAGTTGTCATGCTCGGATAGAAGCATGGGGTTGGAACTTGTGTCGTAAGCACCTTGCGATTCTTCCATATCGGGTGTACTCTCTGAAAGAAAAAGAAGTGAGGGAAATCGTTAGAAGCAATAATCACTGGTCATTAACATTTAATTTTTTAGCTCTTGTCCTTCTTTGATAGAATCAAATGATATTATTAGATATTTTAATCTGTATTATGAACATATACATATAGAATATTCTAGAAGTCATTAGCATTAATTAACTAATAGCTCTTATAATTTAGTTATCCATTCTGATATTTTCATGAGACAACTAAAATTAAAATTTAGTCGTATTTAACGCTACTAAAATGCATTAATATTAGATATTTTTTTATTCTTTAAAAAAAAAAAAAAAAATCTCACTTGCTTGTAAACATTTTCACCAACACATACTTTGAAAGCTTATGGAAGACACATCTCCTGTTCTAGGCGGACCCACTCTAGCTCTAGCGGTCCTGATCCTGGACCGCCTAGATGTCAACTCGAAGTCATTGTCAAAGTCTTCTTGGCTGACGGAGCTGGACGCCATGCCGGCGATATCGCTGCAATGCAAGAATCCGCTTGTAACACCACACTCGCGGGACTTACAAAAGCAATCGCTATAAGAGTGTGCGTGTGCTGTGCAAAGAGAAAAAAATGGGTCCTTACAAAAAATACCTGGACATCTGAACAAAGAGTAGGTAGGTTGTGACGTGCGATACCTATGGGTATGATGATCGTCCCGTGCGGCTTAGCTCGTTTTAGGCTACTGTTCAGGACTCGTCTGAGAAAAAGGGAGAGGAAGAGAAGTCGAGAAGAGAGCTTTGTTGAAAAAACGGGCTCGCGGGCAAAACGAAAAAAAAAAAGACGCAACGTGCGCAGGTAGGAATGAAATCAAACTATCACCAATCGAGGAATCACCTGAAGAGGCCCTCGGCTGCCGATACGGTGACTCACTGGCGACTGGCGACCCGAATGAGGAATTGACAGCTGTCAGCCGACGTGAATGATGATCATAAACATAGACGGCCGAAACGAGCACATAATAGTTTGACCAAAAATTAAATCGACGTATCGATCCGGTGGAAGGCAGGTGAACTGAGAAATGCTTCTACTTTATTCTCAGGAATGCAATTCTTTGCTCAACTGTAGAACTTAGAAACCGCTATGCGAAATCTGCTAGTGATTGCCAGTAACTGCTAGTTCTCTTCGCCTCTTGTTCACTGCGCTTAACCACCCCCACCTTCCTTCGCGTAAGTACGATGCGTAGTATGTCAGATGACAGATAGCCCGAAGAGAGACTGGACTGCGTTCAGAAAACGCAACGATTTTGTAACCGTTGAGCGAGCGCAAAGTGATCGATGAATGGTTGCGTTCGGAAAACACAGTAGCTGTGGCTGTGTTTTAACTGACAATATGTCATATATATATGAATGAAAGTATACGTATATGAATGACTTTTCTTCACACTAGCAATTTATATCAGAATAGTGTGCCATTTCGCTTCTGACGTCATGACGTAATACATATGATTGAGTGAAAGGAGGGAAGCCTGAAGAATCATTTTGATGACATATATTAATTTTGTTTATCCTTAATAATATTTTACGATCAGATGCTATTATATGCTGTATATTTGTTATTGATATATCAATAATAAGATTTTTGTTTGCAAATTAGTTAAAACATTTTTTATTAATATAGAAGCGCAATAGAATAATACATCGTATAGTCAAGCCAACTATTTGAATAATTTATTCAAACTTTTTGTATCATTTTTTTTGTATCTTTCACAAGAGTATTACATAACGTCAAATTATTTTATAAAAATTTAAAACAAATCTTCAGAGTCTAATTGTTATAACAAAATATTTAATTATAAGACAATAATTATTTTAGAAACGTACTGTGCAAGGACATCACAAATAAATATATCATAAAATCACAAAATATTGATTAAGCAATGAATATTTCATGTATGTGTGTGTATATTGTGCAAAAATGTAATATCATAAAATGAAGAATTATGTTATTCATATATATATATATATATTTAATAATCATATATAATTAAACCATGCATGAAAGTCATTTACATTTACATCTTGGTGTAATGAAAAGTTAACATGTAGAATAATAATACCACTTTGGTAGAACTCTATATAGTTTTTCTATACATTAGTATTAGACACAGAATTTTATTTTTATAAAAGAATAACTATTTGAATTATATATAAAAACAAAAATCAACTATCTTTAAATTATGTATATAAATAGCATATTAAAAACATATTTATTAACATACAAAATTTCTATATATCAGATAGTATTAACATTATTAATAATATTATTATTAATTGAGTCAATCTTTGTTTTATGTTTCTCTATACACAGCTTATTTCATTATTCTCTTTCTCTTCGTTATCCATATATGTACTACTTATATTAATATCTATGGATAATACTTTTTAAACTGTTTTTTCGCAAAATATAATCCATATAGAAAAGTTTGCTATACAACAACAGAGAATAACAAATAGTTTATTAATATTAAGCTAATAAAAATTCATTCTTTTTTAAATATAAATTTAGCAATATTATTTTTATATAATTATCAATAATAATTAAATATAAATCTCTATACTGATAAAAGGAAAAGGAAGC